AAAGATTTAAAATTGATACGTTTTATACCGGTAGGTTATTTTAAAATGTAGTATGGAATTCGAACGAATTGGAAATGATACTCAGTGTTGCCAACTCTACGTCTTTTTACGTAGATCTACGTATTTTAGGCCTTTTCTGCAAACCTACTAACTTCAGTCCCAGAATCTACGTATTTTCTTTAATTTTTTCAAATTTGTAAAATAACTTAATTCACTACAATAAAGAAGAATATTTTCCGTTACTTAAAAACTATACAAATGTTTATTTCTTATAAAGATATATCTAAAAACTCTTGTATCTTGTAGAAAAGGTTCACGTTATTGGTTTTGTTGACTAAATTAATGCTGGACGCAGGATTTGTGAAAGCAGAAACGACAAAACTCTTTGACTTAGTAGGTACAGTCATAACCTTAAAAATTGTATTTTTAAACTTTAAATATTATTTAATGAGTACTTACATTGAATTGATCTTTGCAAAATGAAATGACTTTCAGTCGATAAAGTTACAGGATTTAGCAAGTTTTAAACATGTGTTCATGTGTAAGTATGTTTATTTCTCTTGGCACACAATTTAAACCACAACTTTTCTAGAGACTTTTACCAAGTGTAACATGATAACTACTATATTTTCATGTGATCTATTATAAATCATGGTTTTATAATATTAACTCAGAAAGTTTATTACCTACGTGCTTGCGAGTGTTTGTTTACAAAGTTTTGACGTCATAGCATAGATAAGTCTATAGACTAAATAGCGTTTTTGTATGTCTTCTAGGTAAAAAAAATACATTTTTTTCGGTCTGATAAAACAATTATTAACAATTTAAAACATAATTCCAAAAAGTGTCAACTAGTCTATTTAACAACAGTTTATCCTTGTCATTCTCTATACAGAATGGAAAGGAGAGACTGATGTTAAATCAAGTTTTAAATATAGAGAATCATGCCAGAATCGTCACCCACCGGTGTCTGTGTCTGATGGTAAATGTCTGCCACGGCATGGTAAATGCTTCCAATGCTGCGACTTCTCCAAGAACTCTTTGTTCTATCTCCCGTTTTTAAAGAAATTGTATAACAAAATACTCGTTTTATTCGGTTTCGCCTAACTTCTTCATTTCACTCAGAAAAAAATACGTAGATCTACGTACTTTTCATATGCAAAATTTACCAATTCTACGTAATTTTCTCATCGGGCCTACGCCTTTTTCAAAATCCGAGTTGGCAACACTGATGATACTCATTTAATATCAGTAATTCGTTGTAGAATTCACATAAAATGCTTATAAGTATACTAGCGGACCCGACAGACGTTGTCCTGTCTACACGTCTTTGTGAATCTAAACCATTCTCAGATCCCCTTGAACACACACAAAAAATTTCATCAAAATCGGTCCAGTCGTTTAAGAGAAGTTCAGTGACATACACACTCACAGAAGAATTATATATATAAAGATAATATAAATAATCAACTCGTCCCAGTCACTTCTATATAAATTTTAAAGCTTTAGCTTAAGAATTTGAAGCTGGACATTATATATATTTAACTTTGACATGCGTATGCGTTGGACGCACAAAAATTTTACGAATGCGATGATGCACCCAGACCTTCATCAATGATGATTGATGTTTGGAATGAGTCACCAGAACTATCGGACATTCAATTTACGGTCATTGAAATTAACATTCTTTAGTTTTATATATGGTCTTATCTATAAAAATATTAAAACAAGATGCCAACATCGCCTATTAGCTAAATGTATAGAGATCTACAATTATTTCCAAAAGAGATAAAAACGGCCTCGTATTTTGGCGGAAAATTTTCCTAATTTCATGCTTATTTATTTATTCGCAGTAAAAGTGAACAAAAAGCCACTCATAAATCCAAAAAGTTTACTGAACATAGTAAAAAATACATTTGGAAATTGACTTAAGAAGTAAGAAGTGAAGAACAGTTTTCGTGTCGGAATCATACAAACTTTATATGGCTTCTTTCGTGCGCGTGATTCGCATCTAATCTACCGTCACGTGGCAGACAGATCCTACCAATTTACGATTTGTTTTTAAGACGTGTGAACTGAACGACCTCTGTAGACGGTAGAAAAGAACTGAACTTGGCTTCTTAGCCACACGGAGTAACTGGGTTTAAGAGCCCTTTTACATTTTTTGCAAGAAATCGGATGATGATCCCTCTTGGAAATGATTTTGACTATTTTTGATACAAGTAAGAAGTAGATTTACTTTTCTTATCCTTTTTTGTTGGTACTGATCGTTCTACAGCACCATGTTTACGGAAAAAACGATAAAATGTACAACTTCAAATGCCTCGATTTATGAATAAGATTGAATGAACTAGTTTAAATTAATTGCTACATTATCAGAAATATGTTCTTGTTGTAACATATTGCATCATAATATTGATATTCCGCCTAATTATTTTTAAATAATCATCCTCTGTGAGTTTTACCTGTCGGGTAAAAAGGACTTTCCAATAGTCTTTTGTTAAGTGGGACCTTTGTTATTTCTGATTTCCATTTTTTTAAATAGCACAATTATTCTTATATTTCAACAAAATTTGTCCAATACTCATTTATTTCAAGAACTTGGAATCACCTAATGTCAAATTTGGTTAAGTCTCGTCATTTATTGTGAGTGATTTTATATATATATATATATATTTTATGTTATAGGAGGCATACGAGCAGACGGCTCACCTGATGGTAAGTGATCACCGTCATGGACACTTGCAACACCAGGAGTATCACAAATGCGATGCCGGCCTTTAAGGAAGGAGTACGCTCTTTTTTTGAAGGTTTTTGGGTCGTATTGGTCCGGAAACACTGCTGGCGACAATAGATTCCACAGTTTTGTCGTACGTGGTAAAAAAATCGACAAAAACGCACGGTTGTAGGTAAAACTCACAGAGGATGACTTTTTAAAAATAATAGTTGTGGATATTAGGAACCCTCGATCAAGAGATTCAAAGCTCACATAGTGTGTCACCATAAGTCTTAATGTCCTCTCTTACGGGCTCACAGACCTTTCCTATGGTCACATAGCGAGAACAAACCAAAACCATCACGTGAACCTACTACATCGAGTCAACACGTAGCTTTATTTCTATTTGTGTGTGGAACATGCTCATACTTTTAGCCTCCGTCTGAAGAATAGCTTCATAACAACAACATTTGTTAAGTCCGAGAGCATTTTCATCAGCGCTCAGTATTCATTTACCAGCTACTTTATTTTATTGTTTTCTTTTGTATGAGAGAGAGAGAGAGAATCATTTTTCATTGACTACATTAATTTACAAAACAACATACAAAAAAAATGAAAATTATACTTAATGGAGTAAAGAAAAAAAATTAAAAACATTAAGAATAGTACCATTTGTGGTCAATCAGGACCCTGCCTCAGCATAATGCTGCCGCAACACGCCACAAAACGTATCACAGCAGCGCTTTGTATGAATAGAGATGATGACAAAAAAATGTTTATAGTCTATATATTTGAAACGCATCTTTTCTTTATTCGCATAATCATAATAGTACAGTCAATCTGTAGGTTGAGGGTTGAAAAAAAAACCTAAAGGATAAGTCTTGTTTTTTCTGTTGCCAAATGACGTCAGTAAGCCACCTTGGCGATGGGCATGTTCAACTCGTAGGCGTTTTTTGAAAAACTCAAAAAAACCGTCAAAAATTTTTTGAAACGCATTTTTCTTATTTTGTATGCATTTTAGAAACTTTTTTTTTACCATAATTGTAGAGGGCGTTGAGTACTACAATTTATGTCAATGTTGCAATCTCGTACAACAAAAAATGCGCATTGTAGGTGGCGCTAAAATCTCAAAAAAGTGTTTTTTCACTTTTTCACCCTGAAAATATCATTTTAATGGAAAACTTTAAATGGCAAAGTTGTTTCGTACATAATTACCAACAACTTTTGTATAAACAATTTTTTTGTATTACTTACCGTTTTCAAGTTATAAATTGCGCAGGTATGAAAAATCCAATAGAGCGGTTTTGGGCAGTTCAAGTACATATTTGCAGTGCACATTTCAATGTACGTTTTTACTATTTTTTTTTCAATCATGAAAAAAAATAAAAATAAAACTATTTTTTTTTTCATTTTTTTTGTTTTTCAATCATGAAAAAAAATAAAAAATAGTAAAACGTCCATTGAAATGTGCACTGAAAATGTGTACGTGAACTGATCAAAACCGCTCTATTGGATTTTTCATACCTGCGCAATTTATAACTTGAAAACGGTAAATAATACAAAAAAATTGTTTATACAAAAGTTGTTGGTAATTATGTACGAAACAACTTTGCCATTTAAAGTTTTCCATTAAAATGATATTTTCAGGGTGAAAAAGTGAAAAAACACTTTTTTGAGACTTTAGCGCCACCTACAATGCGCATTTTTTGTTGTACGAGATTGCAACAATGACATAAATTGTAGCACTCAACACCCTCTACAATTATGGTTGAAAAAAAAGTTTCTAAAATGCATACAAAACAAGAAAAATGCGTTTCAAAAAATTTTTGACGGTTTTTTTGAGTTTTTCAAAAAACGCCTACGAGTTGAACATGCCCATCGCCAAGGTGGCTTACTGACGTCATTTGGCAACAGAAAAAACAAGACTTATCCTTTAGGTTTTTTTTTCACTGAAACGATATTTTTTTCGACAGATTGACTGTACTATAACATTACAGAGATGTATTGATTTAAAATGTCGCATGACGTCACTTCTTGTTACAATTTTACTTAGAAGCGACGTCACAAGACCCCTTTCCCTAACTATGACGCGCTTTACCTTTGTCAAAAGGCGTGATTTTTTTATACCGTAACTGACAAACTAAATAGAATTTCGTTTAAACCCCGTAATCATCGCTATTGTTTTGTTACAGTGCGTGTACGTCGTAAAGTTCAGTCCCTTCCGATGTATAAGCTAAGTATGAATGTATTTATTATTCATTTGATGTGAAGGAGACTGACTTACCTGATTGCTGGCGAACCTGCGACTGCCGGAGCGGCTGAGCGTGCCACCGCGCACGTTGCTATCGGACAAGTCTATGTCGCCGCCGCCGTCCGCAGCGCGCCTGCGCGACAACTCGCACAGCTCAGCTATGGGTTGCACCTGTACCATAAACCGTGCTTAATTTAACAATGTGTTAACTTCATCATCGTCAGCTTATTGATGGTCAACGCAATAGGTCTCGTTGCCTTTGATATTTCCTGGGAACATGGCGGTGGTTTGTCGATTTGTTGTTATTTACACACATAAAAAAAGTCAAAGCAACATGCAACCGTATGTTTAAATAATTGATATTTAATAAAACTAGTTTTTACGGGTTAATGCACGAAACTTTATTTATTTATTGACGTTCCGTAGCCTGTAAAGGCTGACAAACTAAATAGAAGAGCCTGTAAAGGCTACGAAACGTCAATAAATAAGTATATAAGTTAAAGTAATAAGTAATAAAGTTTCGTGCATTAACCCGTAAAAACTAGTTTTATTTAATGAGTGATGTGCGTGAAAACCTAAGAAACAAATTGATGTTTAATTTTTTTTAGCACAGCAGACTGATTTAATATCTTCTTTGTTCTAAAAAATTTAGTTATTAACTTTTCGATTGTGTTTATAATATAATACAATAGAGGAGATGGCGAACAGAACCGGACTTGTCCACTACTATTCAAAAACAGTATTTTTTCGAATCGTGATGTCTTGACCCAGTTCCGTCGATCCCTATTAATATTTTTAATCAAAACCGGCTCGAAGTAGGCCAAAAAAGGCTTTAAAAAGTGCATTTTCAAACAAAACCGGACTAGTCCGATATGTTATTAGTCACCTCCATAATACTGATATTAGTTTTTTAGCCACCGTATAAAATTTATTTTCGTGGACTAATCCGGTTCTGTTCGCCAGCTCCTCATAGTAAACATCGTTTAATACTTCAAAACCGTACAACAACCGTTGCTTAGACTTTTTTGATGAGTATATTTTTTCTACGTCGCAACCGCTCTGTCGCTTTTCAGATAATTATTGAATTTCCTACAAGTTAATTGCACTTTTCAATAATTAAATACTTGCTCAAAACGAAATTATAATAAACATATTGATGAAGGGCCAATTCAAAAGTAATAGTGTTAATCTAAAAAGCCGGCCAAATGTGAGTCGGGCTCGCGTACCGAGGGTCCCGTACAAACTGATTTTAATACCTCTACGCGTTAATGAGTAAAGAGGTAGTGACTTTAAAATTTTCAAAAATATTTTTTATTATATGATGTAATTAAAAATTTACGGTTTTCGCAATTTTTCCTTTATCTGTACTATGTTACTTCGTACCAAATTTCAAGATTCTAAGTTCACGGGAAGTACCCTGTAGGTAAACCTAATGATTCCCGTGTGAGTTTCGAAAATTTGCGGCATAAACGGCTGTAACTTTTGATTGGTTTGGCTTAGAAGTTTAATTTTTTCACAGCTCCAAGGGACATTAGGCATGAGTATTAGATATGAATTTCAGTTTGATACCTCCACGCGTTCCTGAGAAAAACGGTCTTGACAGACAGACGGACGGACGGACGGACGGACGGACGGACGGACGGACAACAGTGATCCTATAAGGGTTCCGTTTTTTTCCTTTTGAGGTACGGAACCCTAAAAATGAGCCTTTTTTGAATTACATGCAATATTCCCTATTGGTAATGACACGATTTGTACACAATTTCAGTTTAATGATTTAAAATGTGTGATTTGTAAAATGTACGTTCACACTGTACTCAGTGAACGAACTTCAATTATTTTTAGTCTCGTATAACGCAAAAACCATTAAATTTAAATTTTATTCTAAATGGATGCAGAATGCACATCAAACGCAGGATACACCAAACGTTACGACAGCCATATGGGCGTTTTAAGTGTCCGTTTCCATTTAATTGAAGACAACGCCATTTATAGAAGTAACCGTAGAGATTAGTTATTTTGACTTAACATAATGCTTCTGTTATGTACTGTTAGTAAAGAAAAAATAAATTAGTGCACGGAAGATTGTAAATTATAATGTTTTATAAAAAACTAAAAGAAAAGATTTTAAACTGTTTATTTCTTACCTTTACAGTGACAGATTCCTGGCTGCCCTTGATCAAATCAATGACCTCCTCTCTACTTTTGCCTTCCACGTTGACACCGTTGACTTCCAACAATCTATCGCCAGGAAGAAGCCCTGTTTCACTGGAGCCTGGATAAGACCCAGGTTCAGCTAGAATCACCGCCTTATGTGTCAACTTACTGATCAGCACACCATTAGTGATATTGCCATTATATTTATTGCCACCATTTGCGAGACCATTCTCTTCGTGGCCGTTGTGTTCTTTGATATCGCCAATGAAGACTCTTTCTTGAATCATGGCTCGACGAAGGCTAAATCCAAAATCATTTCTAGGTGACTTCTGTCGTTGTATAGTTAACACTCTAGGCTTAGGCAACAGCAAAGGAGTCAATGAAGGCAAAGGTAAATAAACATCCTCAAAGTTGCTTGTCCGCGACCACCTATGGAAGCCCTGAGATTCACCAACAGGCGAGGTAGAAAACGGTGGTGTCGCAAACGAGGAATTTGTCGTAGTATCAGTCAAGGAGTCAGCACTTGGAGATGTAGATGTCACTCCTATGTAGCTGTTCCCATTAGTCTTTGATATTTCATCCACATCGTGTGTTACTATCGAAGGGTTGCTCGCGTTATTCTTATAATTCTTATATTGTGTTTCGACAGGACTATGAATCACTTTCTTCGTGAAGTTCTGCAGCTGATTTATATCATCGCTCGAAGACGTGCTTTTTGACGTTGGTATAGCACCATATGAGATGACTTCATTCTGCTGAGTGTTACGCGCGAGAACATTGGGGTCTTGTCCGTTTATGTAATCAACAGTATCAGTACTTTGGACGTTGCTCTCTTGTGAATTAGAACTAGTATTGCTTAACCGGGGACCCTTGAGGATTCCTCGTTTCGGAGGTCGTGGTGGTATCGGAGGTAGATTAGGCGGTTGTCGTGGACTATTGTTGGCATTGTTCGGATTGTTTAATGAATTTAGCGATGTCTCAGAACTGTCCGATTGTAATACACTGTCTTTTTTGTTCCAGGTATGTGTTGCGGGATAACCAGGTGATAAGTGGTTGTTTTCGTCACTGAGATTAGAATTAGACCCTGAGGTAGTTATGAGGGGGTAATTGGAGTAGTTTGAATCTTGTTCTAGGTGAGCAAACAATGAGGCTGTGTAGTCTGCTGTTATGCCAGAGGGCAGTTTCTCCTTTTCCTTGCGTCTGCCCCGTAATTTGAGTGATCGTCGAACCTGTGGACAAAAGACACTGTTTAGAATCTAAATTACAAATACAATAAGTACACCCTGTCTCACTAAATATTAAAACCAAAGAGCAAAGACTGATTTTTTATTTGTAACTTTTTTAACGTTTTGGTTGTAACCAGGCAATTAGAAGAGAGAGAGTTGGATTTTTGTTGGGTTAACAAATGTTAGCAATTAATACAAATGAACCACTTAACATGAGTGGTTTGTATTTTGTTATACACACTGTAATAACCACATGAGTAAAGAAAGAGATACGTACAGAGATCAAGCTTCTATACAGTGTAATTAAAACTAAATAAATCAATGTAACGCTACGGCGAATTATCCAAAAAAAGTTAATTTCTAGACAACACCACGTAATAAGATTTAAACACAACCTTCAACAAAACTGCGACAACAGCCATACCGTGTCACTCACAATTGGATAAAAATATAGAAAATCGCAACTTAGCCATGCCATAACCCAATTAATACGCTTTTAATGGGTTAGGCACAAGATAGATAGTACAGAATGTAATCTCATGTATGTACAACACTTTTCATACCTACGCTCTGCGGTCGCGCTAGGATTGTAACTTTGCCTTGTGCACAAAAAAGTCATGGTAGTGGCACTCGCACGTATCTTGTTGTTTGATTTATAATGAAACAGGAAGAATAGAAATATAAACCAATAATAACTTAAGTATTTTAATATTGATGTTATTGTATATATTAGATACAAATAAAAGACACAGACACACACAAATTTGAATTCAAACAACCGTCGACTGAACAGTTATTATAATTATTTTCTATTACTCCATATTTGCACAAAATGACGCGTGTCTCAAACAGATGGACCTCGCACCTGGTCCCAAGCGGTTTGAGATATCATGACCGTGAGCTGTATCTATTAGTGCGTTGATCGAGCGAACTTTGTATGTAGATTACCTTCTGTACTTTCTAGTCTGTGGTTTAGGCTAGCACATTTACCGCCACCATTGACAGCTCCCAATTAGTTAAAATAAGCGCTCTAATAACTACGAACAAAGTTGGCATTTTAAACAGTACAGAGAAAGGGGGACAGAGTAAACTTAATTAAAATTCCAACAGATTTATATTCATGCTACGTTGGAAATTTTGTATTCTAGGTACATTGATGATATGTCTAGCCAGGAATAAACATGTCGAGACACATCTAACAAAATAGTGAGACTTACTAAACACTCGAAATCAACAAAAACACACACGAGGCGACATAACTCCGTTTACACTTAACATCAATTGGAGAAGGAAATATTTTGCAGAACGTAAAACAAAATATAAATAAACTAAAAATACCAGAGCACTAACAACCCAACCGATCATTTAGCCTTCCTTCACTTAATCTTCCACCTTATCCTACTATCTCTAATCTAAACTAGCAACTCGAGCAACTAACAAAGAATATACAAAACATACAGCCACTGACAAAACATTACTGTATAATAGAGCTCATTAAACAATGCTAATTGCCTGCCTGCTTTGTAAACAGTTTATAAAAACTTTGAAGAGTACGAACAAATGCCATTGAAAACTATCTGGAAAAAAAAACTTTGCTACGATCTTATAAAAGGTAAAATCAACAGATATAAAGACAAATTATTAATTTACAAAATAATGTTATTATTGTTTTTTTAGAACTACACAGAGCATACAAATTTTCAAAGTATGTAATTTAGTAGTTGGGTCATAAGTTGTCAAGGATATGCTGTTAGCCGTAATTTTTACGATTTTTTCAATGTTAAAATGGTGGCAAAATAGCTTACGGCCTTATGGTAAGCGCCCTATCCAATAGACGCTTCATCATCGGCCTGTTAATGTCCCCACTGCTGGGGCGCAGGCCTTCCCTATGGACGGAATAGGGAAATTGGGCCATGACCAACCACACGGGCCCAGTGCGGATTGGTAGGTGCTAACGACCGCAGATGCAGCCGGGACCAACGGCTTAACGTGCCTTCCGAAGCACGGCGAAACTCGAGATAGAAGATTTTTGGTCACCCATCCAATGACCGACCACTTATACTTATTATTATGTACTTATACTTACACCGACCGCGAAAATTGCTTAACTTCAACGATCGCAGCCGAACGCGCCGAAGAGGCACACCGCAGAACGGACCTCACACCTGGCTCCCGCAAGTCTTACGGACCCCCCAGTGGCTGCCCACCGAGGACCCTGCAACTCTTACGGGCGCTTTACAGCATAATATCCGCTAAAAAAGTCCGGCGAATACCTTCTACACTGCTTAATGCGAAGCCGCGGGGTCCCCGTTAGGGATTCTACCACAACTACCCTGTGGAGCCCTGGAACCCTACTCACCGACAGAACGACGACTACTATGATCGATTGATAAGCCCGCAGGTTTTCTTATTACTATCTTGCAGCTACTTTACTTAACAATATGAAGAGTATTGATCTGAACCGACATAAATGATTTCGTCTTCGTCGCGAATCATATTAATATAATTCGCGGCATAGACGAAATCGAACAGTTGCAAAGCAAATTCTTTAATTTCATTGCATTTTACAATGCAATATATAAATATAAGGTCGTAGTGCTTGACTACATTTTCATCAGAAAATCAATTTCCTTACAAGATTTAACAAATAATACTAAATAAAACTAGTTTTAACGGGTTAATGCACGAAACTTTATTTATCTATTGACGTAGAAAGCCTCTCTGAGTTTGTTTCGCCGGTTCTTCTCAGAAAGGTCTCCCAATTTTGGAACCGGTGGTAGTTTACGGTAGTTAGTGTCAAATAAATAAACTAAAAAGAATTTTAAAAAAAGTACTTTATTAACTAAATTAACTAATAAATTCATACATAGACAATAAAATTTTAAAAATCTTCCAATGAAATAACCGAACGCTCAATAAAAGTCTTTCGAAGGTAGCTCGACAAAATTAAATAAAAAAACATTCTGACGATGCAGACCTGAAAAGGCTGCGAAATGTCAATAAATAAATAAAGTTTCGTGCAATAACCCGTTAAAACTAGTTTATTTAATGAGTGATGTGCGTGAAACCTAAAAAACTAATAAATAATACTAATATTCATAAATAGATCTCAGTAGTTGTTCTCAGCTAGGGGATGAACTGAGTTTGTTTGAAACGACGCTATTACAATTGTTAACCTGAAACATCAACAAACAACGACCGCCATCCAGCTTCCGTCTGGAAATACCTCTAACGGCACACGCCAATTCTCGACTTCAGCTCCCATTAGGATCTCGCTGTTCCCAAACCAGGTGACGCTGTAAAGATCATCTAAGACCACACACAAAAAAATAATTAGTGTGCATGGACCACACATCTGAAGTGATACTTATTTTCTTAAAAAACCTAACATTAGGCGGTGCATAAGGGAATGGAGCAGCGCACGCATCACTCATATATATATGTGGTGTGAACTCGTGACGCATTTTTGTTTCATCTTATCCATAAGATTTTTCCATTTACACCCCGTCCGAAATAAAGAAGTTTCACTACAAAAAGGCTTCCAGCTTCAACCGCAACTTTTGGATAGCATCAAGAAATCAAGAGTTCACGGTGCGTCCCTCCACACCACTGGCAACCGAAACAGAACACCGGATCCGTGCCTACGAGCCATGACGTCCATTAAGCGACAAAACATTAGCTCTCCCGAACTCGCCGACTGTTAACCGGCAGTATAGTGGACAGGTGCTATTGTCTTTTAAAAAGCCGCTAATTTCATTTCGGCCCTAGTTGTATTCAACGAAACACTTTCCACGACCTACTGTCATAGCTGCATGCGGTTTAACCTATAACTTTTTTTTTAATGTTGTGCTTCCATAAAAACTCTTTATACATCTTTAGAGTTTTTCCAAATAATGCGACATATTACATTTAAAACCATTAAAACCGTCCAAATGCGAGGAGATTAACTATATTTGTATAACCATACAGTCATACATAGTGATAATATATAAAAAGAAATTTTTTGTTTATGGAGAGTTGGACTTTTGAAGAACTCCTTTCCTGAGAAAATTTTAACACTTTAAGCTTACAAAATATAGTTCGCAGACAACGGAAGGAAGGGACAACGGAGGCACTGTTGTCTCTCTGGCTCGGAAGAAGAAACCCGAAGGACTCCACTAAACCATCCTGATGTTGAGAGAAAGCAAGGTGTAAAGACAACTAAAGAAGCAAAATTTAAGATCTTAAAACCAAATGCCTTTGTTCTCGCAGGCGTGTTATTCTTCCCATCTAATAAATTGAAAATTAAGAAATCCTACATATCGATGCTAGACAATACTTACTCCGGGTAATAACTACAGTCACTGAACTAACGCCGTTTTTTTGGGCACGAAGCAAATACAAAAAGAGAGTCAACTTATCAGCACAAGCTTTTATTATGGATAAAGAAGCTCGACTTTTTGCAACTATTTGTATTTATAAGGTATTTCATATATTTGTAGTGGAATTAAAAGATGGAGACAACATTATACTATTGTGAGTTTCCGTTTTCCTCCAAAACACTCCTCGTCATAAGACAATAACATGCACAATTTTAATATTGTCTGATATTCTGAGATCACTATTTTGTTCCTAGAGTCCAGTTTATCTATCATAATTTAAAATCCCAGACCAGACCACCCATAGTAATATTACCGCCGTAGGACATTACCCAATTGACGTTGCCTAGATAGCTTTAATAGCTAATAATTTGATAACATCATAATCGCTCCATATATTAAATATACAGCCTTGAGTTTTGAAAGATAAAAAGATTGATAGATGTGTTATATCTATCACAATATTAAAACAACTCCTTCAAAAGCTCGCAGGCTTTCAATTATCTGTGTCAAGTTAAGATACGAGTCAGTCCATCGTTATTCTAAGACACAAAAAGGAAAATATTACCTACTACGAGTAACAAACCCAGTGATGTTTCTTTAAATGAATTGCGGTTAATTAAGGGCGCCGGCGGCATTTAGATT